ACCTAGGAATAAACCTAATCAAAGAGGTATAAGACCTATACTCTGAGAACTATAAAACACTGAGGAAAGAAATTGAAGATGACACAAAGAAATGGAAAGACTTTCCATACTCATGGATTGGAAGGCTGTTAAAATGTCTATATTACCCAAAGCAATCTACACATTTAATGCAATCCCTATCAAAATACCAACAACATTTTTCACCGAACTAGAGCAAACAATCCTGAAATGTGTATGGAACCACAAAAGACCCCGAGTAGCCAAAGCAATCTTGAAAAAGAAAAGCAAAGCTTGGGGCACCTGGGTGGCTCAGTTGGTAAAGGATCCAACTCTTGATTTTGGCTCATGTCATAATTTCATGGTTCGGTTCATGGGATCGAACCCTGTGTTGCCCTGCACTGTGACTATTGGTGCACAGCCTGCTTGGGATCCTCTCTCTCTCTGCCCCTCACCCACTCGTTCTCCCTCTCTCTTTCTCTCTGTCTCTCTCTCTCAAAAATAAATAAATAAACTTAAAATTTTTTTGATAAATAAATAAATAAAATGGAAGAGTGGAAGAGAAGACAATGAGCTTAAAAAGGGATAAATTATTTGCAGCAAAATTGAACAATTTCACAAATGGTTACTAAGGCATTCTAGAAGATTATAGTCATCAACAGGTAGATAGCAACAGTCTCCTGTGATTTGCATGCTTTGAAGAGAGAAGCAGGGGAGTTCCCACAGCTATAATTGCTCTAACCACTCTGTCTGAGCATGTTGGCAATTAAATTTAGAGGCATTTCAGCTCAAACTGGCTAAAAAACAAGTAAATCGTTCAAATAAATAAAAGGTTCAACTACTGTATTAGTACATTATATTTGGATAAATGTTATGATATAAAGGATAGATCTTGATGATATTATTTCTTCAAACGCATGATTTGATTACATTCATTCATTTATTCACTCAACAAACTGAGTCCTTAAGATGTGCACACACTGTGCTAGAAACAAACACAATTAAGAACAGTCCCTGCCAGCAAGGCACTTAACCTAGTTAGAGAGCCAGGCACATAAATGGCAACTTAGGAAAACAATGTGGGACATGGAATGATAGACAGGTACACAGGGTACAGAAAGATAAGAAAAGACACCCGATATAGTATGGAGCAGGAAGGAAGGAAGAGGAAAGAAAGAGACCAAGAAAGGCTTCTAGAACACAGTGGTACCTGAACAGAATATTAACAAGTCTAGCTACTCCTCCTATAAATCTCATAGATTATGAATAATGTATTTTCTATTCCTCTTTTAGCCAAGTTCTAAAGGCTGTGAATTCAAGAGATGAGAACTAGAAATAACTGGATAATGTAGGAAGGCAGGCATATTTTCTACAGAAATAATGAGGCCTCCGCAAGCAAGCAGGAGAGGTAACATGTAGCTTTATAGAGGTGTTGCAGGGTTTAAAGCCTCTGCAACGTTTGTGCATTATAGCAGGAGTAAGGCTGCTTAGGCGTCTGATCAAAGACATATTGGGGCACCAGTAAATAAATACCACTGCCATGAAATGATATGGTGATGTTTCGGTGGCATTCTGTTCTTCAGACTTTCCAGGACTAAAGAGCTTCTGCAATCGCTCACATAGCTACAGCGGATATTACATTTAGAATCAGAAAGTGGGCGCTAGAAAAAAAGTCAAGATCAGCATGTAGAACCTTTAATTCACAGAGGAGGAATCTGCAAGGAAACCTGCATGCCTGAGGTCATTAGGCTACTACTGAGAAGAGACCAGGATGCAGGTCTAGGTCATTTATTTATTCATTAAAAAAATTAAATGAGGGGCGCCTGGGTGGCGCAGTCGGTTAAGCGTCCGACTTCAGCCAGGTCACGATCTCGCGGTCCGTGAGTTCGAGCCCCGCGTCAGGCTCTGGGCTGATGGCTCGGAGCCTGGAGCCTGTTTCCGATTTTGTGTCTCCCTCTCTCTCTGCCCCTCCCCTGTTCATGCTCTGTCTCTCTCTGTCCCCAAAATAAATAAACGTTGAAAAAAAAAATTTAATAAAAAAAAAAAAATTAAATGAAATCTAAGTGCCCAGGCTATTTGCTAGGTACAGAGTAAGAAACTTATACTCATCAATACGTCCCTACTCTCTCCCACCCAACCTCCTACCACAAATATCATACAGTTTGACTCAGAAATACTTTCAATGTCTTCAAAATATAAATACTTTTAATAAAACCTACATATCATTCCTTAATTTGCTAAATACCATCAAATATCCAGTTAATATTGGAAGTGCTAGTCATCAAAATGAGTTTTTATGATTATTTATGCAAATTGGATCCAAATTGGATAGAAAACATTGTACAATAAAAGTTTCTTTGTTATCATTATTTGTTGAGGAAATAAGGTCTTTAGCTAGTAGAATTCTCCAGTCTAGATTTTGCTGATGGTGACCTTAGTTTTCATTGAACATGTACCTCTACCTTTCAATTTTTTTTTTTTTTAACTTCCATAAACTAGTACTTAGATCTAGTAGCTTGATCACATTCAGGTTCAATTTTTTGACAATACTTCACAGGTGGCTCTACGTACTTGCTATCATATTAGGAGGCATGTAATTAATGTCTGGTTCTCTTTCTGTGATGTTACGATTAATCAGCAGGTGTTGCCAGACTGATCCATCCATTCTAAAATTCCAAGGTGCCATGTTAGATAGATTGTTCAGACGAGGCCTTTCTGAGGAAGTGACCTTTAAGCTGTGACTTAAAAGATGAAAAGGAGCCAGTTGTGCAGAGTAAAGGGGAGTGTAGCAGCTGGAGGCCCTGAGATGAGAAAGAGCTTGCCATATACCTAGTCACCCCCTCAGGATCGGCGGAGCTTTTCTTTCTATTCTCCATTACTTCCAGTAGCCCCCCAATCTCCAAAAGGTGGAAGCAGAGAACCCTTGGCTTATAGGTGTCAGGAACCCAGTGGCACTTTCAGGTACAGGTGGCCCCAGGTACGTAATGTTGCTCTCCTGAAAATGCTTAGGAGCGGGACTATTTTGACTTAGACTCAGAGACCTAGATGAGAAAACAACCTGGTTTCTCTCATGACACAAACCAACCAGCCATTTTACTGAGCATGATGGCACAGCAGAGATGTGGTTCTTAGGGTACAACTGGGCACTAAAGAGGTAAGGATAGATTTTAACCAGTAATACTATTACAATAGGGAAAGTGTCCAGTGCAAATTTTACTTACCTTCCTTATACAGAGGTGACTAGGCCTTTCAAAGGGAAAATAAGGGAATAGGCAAGAGAATGAGGGGGTCTCAGTAGAGTCAGGGCAGTGATAAGTTACAAAAAGCTAGAAAGGGAGATGATCCCTGTGAAACCCGTCTGGGTTTGCCAACTGACTTGTAGAAATTAGAATAGCCTTCCTCTTTCCGCAGAAGCTGGCAGACAGGGTCAGACAGTCAAAATTTTTGACAACCTTGTGTTTTCTGAGGCAGCACTTTGAAGGGGGCTAGGTTTATCCTAGGGATATGGCCTTGAGCTGTTAGAAACTATGTTTGTTGAGGCCTTTGTAGGCCAAGGGTGACAGGCCTAGTCAAGAAGAGGGTTCAGAAGAACCCATCTAGAGTGTGGTCAGGGAGAGACTTCTTGTCAGTTGTTATAAATACCAAATGAGATATTGCCCTGAAAATGTTTGAAGAAATATAACACATCAATATCAGTTGACACCTTAATTCATATAACCAATCCTATCCCTTCCTCTCCTTCAAAATGCTTATTGAAATTCTTCCCTACAACTATGTTCCAACTACTAAACATCCTGCCATTTGGTGATAACACCTATTCTATGTACTATGTGCTAGGTACTTTACCTACATCATAATATTTCCTTCAAACAGAAAAGTTAGGTACTTGACCAAGGTCACACGGCCAATGAGTGGCAGAGCCAAGAATCATACACAACTCCAGTGATTGTTACCCAGTTCCATTAAACAAGAAACTCCTTACATCTTTCAAACCGTTCAATTAAAAAGAAAATCTATATATTCTTAACACACTGGACATGTTCATTGCTCACAAGATTTTTTTGTAAGAATCTTATCATGCATGTGAGCTCTCATTCATTCCAACAAGATTCTGAGATATTAAACGGCAAGGGTCAAGCTGTGCACCTTCTAGTTTATGAAGTATTTCTTCAGCACCGCTATGTATCGTAGCACCATATTTAAGCCATTGTCCTGAGAGAGTTAGGGAACGGGCTACAGAATAGTAAATGCTAACTGTACAATCCAGGAAAGAGATCAACAACGAGTCAGGACAGTTGGGGAAGGTTTCAGGGAAGATTAGAATTGAGCTCCATCTTGAGGATCAGCAGGATATTGGCCCTGAGAAAGAAAAGAAGGGCACTCCAGGGCAGAAGGTGGGAAGCAAGAGTAATAGAAGCTCATATATCTTTCAAAATCAGTATATACATCGTCACAGAGCTTGAGTGACCGACAATTGTGCATCCGCTGATATTACCGTAAAAGGAAGCTGTCTTGGAAGTTTAAGTGTCTGAAGTAGAAGCTGGTCGAGGAGCGGCGTACTGTGATTCACCAGCGATCCTGACGCCTCTGGCGCCCCTTAGCGGGACTCTACAGTCCCACTACCTGAAACCACAATTTAGATGCATAAGCATTAGCCTCTCTATAATGTTTCGCCAAACTCTATGATCAGTAGGGGGCGGGACGCGCACCTACCCGCCGCGCACGCGCGAAGCCCTTCTTTCCGCACAAAGACTGTGGGAGAAGGGGTCGGCGCAAGCGCTTTGAGCCTCTCAGAAAATAGGGTCATCATCACGGCTCCTGGCGCAGGGAGGGCAGAGAGACGCAGGCGCTTGAGAAGGCGCGGGACTTATTTCACGCTAGGGGTGGCGATGACGTAATGACAGAGGAGGAGGTAGTCAAGGAACGGAAGCCGGGAGGGAAGTAGGGCGGAAGGGGAACAGGGCCGGGGTTGTGTTCGGAGCCTTGGCGGGGCTGGGGTTCCGATGTGGTCCCCGGAGCGGGAGGCCGAGGCCCCAGCCGGGGGAGACCCGGCGGGCCTACTGCCCCCCGAGTGGGAGGAGGATGAGGAGCGCATGTCCTTTCTGTTCTCCGCTTTCAAAAGGAGTCGCGAGGTGAACAGCACCGACTGGGACAGCAAGATGGGCTTCTGGGCTCCGTTGGTGCTGAGCCACAGCCGCCGCCAGGGGGTGGTGCGCCTGCGTCTGCGGGACTTGCAGGAGGCCTTTCAGCGCAAGGGCAGTGTCCCGCTGGGGCTGGCCACCGTGCTGCAGGACCTACTACGGTGAGGGCGGGCCCGGGCAAGGGGGCGGGGGTGGCTCCCTGAGGGTACCGCGCCCATGCCGGGGTCTGGCCCGCAGAAGCAGGTCTGTGTGTGTTCAGTGGGCGAAGGAGGACGAGAAGGAGGCTGTGTTAGGGGTGTGGAGGGAGAGGGAGACGGGCATCTGGCAAATTGGGGGTCCAGGATAGTGCGATTAGATTAGATCCAGACGGTGGGAGGAGAAACCTACCTGGCAGAAGTGACAATGACTTGTCTGGAGTGGAATCCCGTTGTGTAGTTATTTTGTAGGGGCTTCCAAATTTGAATTACCCTGGACAGAAGGTCTATGAGATAGGATTTACTGAACTAAGGAAGGCAGGACTAAGAAGAAGGCAGTCGTGGGGAAGAGGTCTGTGGGGGATCTTGCCAGCAGCCCCCAGCACAGGTCATGTGTCTGGCCTGTCTTGGCTTGTCCTTGGCACGGGCTGTTTGAAGCAGAGGACATAAAGGAGGTTGAGGGCTTCACCGAGTACCTTGGTGCTCTGAGAAGGGCCTGTAGGTGCTACCTGTGCGACAGGTGCAGGGTTTGGGAGATACCTGAGGCGATAGCATGGATATCTAAGGTACCTCACTTAATAGTATGCAGATACTTTGCATATCATCCCGTTTCATCTGACCTCCTCAGCAGTCCTGCAGGCGAGATGATAGAATTATCCTCAGCAGACAGAACAGGAGACCGAGACTGAGGTCGAGCGATTTACTCAGGTTTATACAGCTAGTTCGATGAAATGCCAGGACTGGACCCCTACTCTCCTGATTCTAAATAATTTGCACATCACATGGTGCATATACTGAGAGCAGCCTGGCTAGCGTAGTACCTCCTTCAATGAATGAAGAAGAAAGTCCGTTTTGATGTTGCTTTGAGTTTTCTGCACTTCCTGATTTATCTCCCCGGTACCTTTCCATTGGCTGACATTGGCGGGACGAGCCGTTTCTGAAACTTCTTTTTTCTGAGAAAGCGTACTGTGCAAAGTTTGAGTTCCTGCCTGAAGCAGGATACGGAGGAGAACATAGCTTAAGTTGGTGAGGGACAAGAACAGTCTGGACTTCTTTATTGCGGTAGGACCTGTCCCTGCCTCTTCCCATCCAGAGACCTTTAAGACCTTGATATCTTCTCTCCTGGCTACTGGCACTCTGCTGACGTTTCCTGGTGCTTGATGGGGTCTGGCATCCAGAGAATTTTTGAGGAAGATAACTCTCCATGGAAGCAGCATAACAGTAATTAACAGCTTTGCTTGAGGGCCAAGGGTTCTGGGCTCACACCCTGGCTGTACCACTTGCTAAATTATGTACCCCTCTATTTAAAGCTTCAGTTTGACCAAGTATAAGATGGTGATGATATCTGTAGTTAGGTTTCTTATGAGGATTTGAAATCCTATTCCTTATGTAGCCCGTTAGCATAGTGATTGGCCCATGGTAAGGGCTCAGTAAATGTAGCTGCTTATTACCAGTACCATAGAATGCTTAGGTCGTATCTCCACCCTAGCTCAGGAATAGCAGAAAACCTTTTCTCTGAACATCTTTGTGTATTTCCTCATGTCTTGCATTGACAGTAATCCATTACTGTTACTGTCATTTTATCATATTGAACTTCATTTGTAAACGAAGGTCTCAACATAGGCCTCATAGCCTGCTGTGCCTCTGCAGCCTTAGTGGAGCACTTGCCCTTTGGAGCCAAATTATAGTTCAGAGTTGGCCCCTCTCACCTCGGTCCCTCCATTTTCTCATGAACTAAAATGCCAAGGACGACATCCATCTCACAGAGTCGTCAATGGTGCTGACAGCTGGAGCAGAAACAATGCTGCTCATAATAGCTGGCACGGAGTAGGTACCTGATAATGGTATTTATGATGGTGATGATCAGATTTCTCTCTCGGGGGAAGAGGGTAGGTGGGGACTGGAACGGGACATTGCATCAAGCCTACTACGTGTCCTTTTCTTTCTTTGCCTGCAGCCGGGGGGAGCTGCAGCGGGAGTCAGACTTCATGGCCAGTGTAGACAGCAGCTGGATCTCCTGGGGGGTTGGAGTCTTCCTGCTGAAGCCCCTCAAGTGGACTCTTTCCAACATGCTAGGGGACAATAAGGTTCCTGCTGAAGAGGTGCTCGTGGCTGTGGAGCTGCTGAAGGTGGGTGCTCAGAAGGGAGAGGTGATGACCGGATCCTCCACGTTCCTGTGTCTATCCTTAGAAAAAGAGCATATCTTTTTTTACATGATGACAGAGTTGATAACTGACCTTTTGTAGCATTATTTAGTTGTTAGTTGGACTTGTGCATTTCAAGGGTGATACTCTGTCTAGGAATTGTCCATAACATACGGTTGATTATTTTCTGTGAATTAGTGATAAGCTAAAGTGTAGAAAATTCTTTGCCTTCTGTAGTTTACTGGCAAGTTTCTCAGGATTCCTGAGGACCTTGTGACTTCAGCTTTGCCTTCCCTTAAATCAGCACACCAAGTTCAGATTTCCTCTTCTGTGACTACACCCTTTCCCCTTCCAGCTTACTGATGGCCTTAGTGATGGTCACTGAAGAGGCCACCAGGCCTGTGGTCCCTTCATGCCCTCTTGGTCGGTCAGCTTCCTCCTGGCCTGTCTTCCCTAACCAGCCTACAGCACGCACCCAGCTTCTTGCGGCTCCCCTGGTCCACCCCAGAGACACCAGCACTTGTACTGCCTTAGACCAACCCCGCAGTCTGCCATCCCTGCCAGACAGAATCACGCTGTCACCAAGACTGGGGTCCCCTTCACAGTCCCCAGCTCCAGGAGGGCCCGCACAGCCACTCTTCAGCCCAGTTTACTAGTCCTTTCCCAGCCCGCACTCACGTGCCTTCCATTCTCCCCTTCTGCGACTCTGCTGACAGTTCATTGAGAAGGTAGGATCTCCTGTCAGGCCTTCAGCTTTCTGTCCTACATCCAGTTTATGGTCTTCTGAGCCTTTCTTTCTCCCTAAGCTCAGAGGATGAAGTGTCCATCCTCTCTTCCACATGTGCTCTTGAGTCTGTCCCTACCCTGCTGTCCCCTTGTCCCATCAGCTAGCCTCTTGATCTGTACATTCTGTCTCCTATCTCCCTCTTCTTCCTCAGCCTCGAAACCCGCTCAGGTTTTTCCAATCACAGAATGACTCCTGTGTGGGACCCGGCCGCTGCCTAGTTAGTGCTGTGTCTCTCTCCTTCTTGACCAAGCTTTGTTGTCACCACTTCCTCACCTTCCACACGCTCTTTAATGCAGTGCACACCACTCCACCGAAACCGACTGAACACCGGGTAGCAGAAGTATGCTGTAGACAGTACTTACTTTTTTTTTTTTCTTTAATATTTATTTATTTTGGGGAGACCGAGTGCAAGCGGGGGAGGGGCAGAGAGAGAGGGAGACACAGAATCCGAAGCCAGGTCCAGGCCCCGAGCTGTCAGCACAGAGCCCGACGCGGGGCATGAACTCACGAACCGTGAGATCATGATCTCAGCCAAAGTAGGACGCCCAACCAACTGATCCATGCAGGCGCCCCGACAGCACTTACTTTTGAAACTCACAGACCAAGCCCAACCTCGGGACCCTTGCATAGTCCCGGAGGCTTCCACACAGCCGGAGCCAGCTCTCGATCTTCATCCCTTACCCCAAGAGAGGCTCTGATTTCTTGTCACCTTGACAGACTCCCAACCCTCTCTGCCTCAGACTGAGGTGGGGATTTCCAGAATTTGCCACCTCTCCTTGTCTCTCACCATTGGACCGAGCAGCATGCTTCAAAGGAAGGGCTCTTCCTCCTTTCCCACCCACATGGTTATCCTCCCACCCAGCGCCCTGACCTCCAGGACTTAGCCAAGGCTACGCAGAAACCACAGGATGGTTTGCGTGGTTCTGGGCCAAGCTCCATTCCTCTTTGCAGGCTCTTACCTCAAGTGTTTTACAACTGGAGTAAAGGGAGGTAGACCCATTTACCCCCACAGATGTGGTTTAGGATTCATAGTCTTTTGAGAGCAAAGGCAGAAAAGGGGGCAGGAATGGAATAAATAACCTAGATCTTCCAAGAACCAACAGTACTTTTTAACCACAGTGCCGTTTAATCTTACTTAAGTAGAAAAATAAATCTAGCTCCGCACTGACCTGGTTCTGTTAAGTCTATGCCCAGTTTACATCACTAAATAGAGCACTCAACACTTAAGCTCATTCCGTGACATATATGGTAACTTCACTGTCTTTTCCTGGGGTGGAATCTTGTGTTAATGTGTGAAACTGAAGGGTCTTATCTGGATATTTTTTTTAAAACAAAGTCTACTTCTGAGGTAAATTGATTTTTCCCAAGTCTGGCCACAGAAAGCCAATAACTTTATATTTGATTTGATAAAAATAACCAAAAAGTAAAAATTGCCCATAAGTTTTGCTATTTAAAAAATAATTTAAAATAAAAAGGAAATGAATGTTTCCTTTCTGTTCATCCCATTTCTGTCTCTTTGGGTACATTCCTTTCTGTTCGTGTGGGCACACACATGCGTGTGTTTGCATGTTCACATATTTTCTTACTGATCCTGTCTCACACTGTTACTTTCTCTCTTTTTAAAAAATTTTTTTAACATTTATGTATTTTTGAGGGAGAGTGAGAGAGACAGAGTGTGAGCAGGGGAGGGGCAGAGAGAGAGGGAGACACAAAATCTGAAGCAGGCTCCAGGATCTGAGCTGTCAGGACAGAGCCCAGTGTGGGGCTTGAACCCATGAATAATGAGATCATGACCTGAGCCAAAGTCGGACACTTAACCTACGGAGCCACCCAGGCGCCCCCACACCGTTACTTTCTGTTTTATTTTATTGTTAGCATTTAATGCTTTCTAAAAATGTTATTTACTTGTTTACTTGTTTATAATCTGTCTCTCCTACCAGATAGGAGATGTTCCATTGGCCCTGGAACTCTGGGAACAGTGCCTGCTACATAGTAGAGAGTCAATAAACATATGTTGAATAAATAAATGAACATGCCCATACGTACAAAAATATGTATGCACATACGCTCCATTTTTTTCCAGAAATAGAATCTTACTTTATTTATTGGTCTGCAGCCTGCCTTTTTTTTTCTTTACACTTATTAGTGTAAGTATCTTTCCCTATATAATATAGATGTACTTCATTCCTTTGGATGGCTGCATAAAAATCTATAGAAGTGCCACAGTTTATGCAATAGTTATGTCCACACAGATGGACATTTAAGTTATTCTAATTTCTCTGTTACAAAAAAAAAATACTTTGACAGCCTTGTGTGTACATCTATGTGCAGTACTTCCATTTTTATTTTTATGGATTAATTTCTAGAAATGCTTATGCACAGAAATTGCCAAATTACTTTTCAAAAGTTTGTGCTAATTGACACTTTCATTCAAGTGTTCAGTGTCCCCACATCCTTGCCAGCACTGGATAACATGAGTCTTTTACATTTTGCCGGTACGACAAATAAAAATGATATTTCCTATTTCGGATTTGAGCATCATTTCCCCTATCTGCTGGCCATTTATGTATCTCCTTCTGTGCGTTGCCTATATATATCCTTTGCCTGTTTTTATATTGGATTGTTTGTCTTTTATATTTATAGGAGATTTTTTATGTATTAGGAGTAGATATAATATAGTTAGCATTAAGGATGTAAATATTGTTTTCCAGTCTCTTGTTTGCTTTTCGTTTTTATTTATGATGTCTTTTACCATATAGAAGTTTCCATATTTCTATAGTCACATCTCTAAAATTTTCCTTTATGGCTGCTGAATTTCTGGTCTTGCTTACAAAGTCATCCTCTACTTCAAGGTTAATTAGATTAAAAAAATTTTTTTAATGTTTATTTATTTTTGAAGAAGAGAGAGACAGAAAGTGAGCAGGGTAGGAGTAGAGAGATAGGGAGACACAGAATCCAAGCAGGCTCCAGGCTCTGAGCTGTCAGCACAGAGCCTGATGCGGGACTTGAACTCACAAACCATGAGATCATGACCTGAGCTGAAGTCGGACAGTCAACCAACTGAGCCACCCAGGCACCCCAAGGTTAAACTTCCTCAATTTAAATTTCAGTAATTTGGCATTTGTTTTTGTGTATCTGGTGAGGAAAAACTATTTTCTTCCAAGTGGATAGCCAGTTTTAACCTTTATTAATGTTGTTTACTGTTAATCTGTTGGTTGGATACCACACTGTTCTTCCTATGTAGCTTTATAGTAAGCATTATTATTTGACAGGGCAGGTAAACCAAATGAAAACTTTAGTTTCTATCTTATTAGACTCTTCTGCTGCCTTTGACACTATGGACTACTTGCTTGTTAAAATTTTCCATTTCTTTGATTTTGTTGTCGTTACACTATGGGTTCTTGGTGGTGCTCTGGGTAGCTCTTATGAGTTCCTTCATCTCTTAAACATTGGTCTTCGTTCAGCTTATTACTTTGCTTTCTGAATTTCCTTGGGTAACTCATTTACACTTGGGATTTTAATTACCTTCTATATGCTTGAGGACCTTCAGAGTCCTTTCATATATGTTCTGTTCTGGTGTCTCCCTTGAGCTTCAGATTTGTACCCAATTATCTGCTGTATGTATCTTCTTGAATGTACCTCAAGCATCCCAAAAAACGTGTCCAAAATGGAATGTTTTGTCTTTCCTGTAAAATATGCTTTTCCTTCTGTGTTCTTGCTATTAGTTAGTTAATAGCATCACATCCACCTTGTTACTCATGCCAGAGCCCAGGAGTCATCCCAGACTCGTCTTTCTCCTTCCACCCCATGCCCAGGTACCATGGACTGCTTGTTTTATCTTCTGAATTCTTCTTGAACCCATCCCTTCTCTGTCCCTACTGGCATTGCCCTGTTCAGTCTCTCCTAGTCTCTTGCATAAATGGTCTCTCTGCCTCTAAGCCTACCTCCTATAACCCACCCTGTCCCACTTGTCAGCTAGATCTGTTACTCCAGCCTTGGTACTTCCCTTCCATGACTACCCACCATCTGCAGATAAAGGACAGCAAAGAATCTGCTGCACCTTCTGTAAGAGAGAAGTGCTTCTGCTGTCTCTCCCCTTCCTGTCCCCTCCCATAAACACCTTATTGACTCCTACTCTATGCCATTGCTCATGACCGTCCCTCTTCCTAAGATGCTCTTCCCACCTACCTCACCTAGGGACTTACTCACCCTTCAGAATTCTGCTCAACAACCATTTTCTCCCCCAAGCAATCTCTGAACTCCTGGGTATTCCTTCCCTACATTTCATAGCACTTTGTGCCTAATTCAGTAAATATTGTTTGCAGAGGACTGAGAGTAATTTCCATGTAGGAGGAACACGGTGGCATTGTTTCTTGAAACTTCTATTTCTTAGGCTATTCACAAAAACCCTGTCCTACCTGGTTGTCACATACTTCTCTCTTGAGACGCATTATAGACTCAGTAATGCTCTTGTTTGTAGTGTCAGAAGTTGGCATAAAAATGGAAAGACCAGCATTGGAAGGGAACACAGACGCCATCTCATCCACCTTCTTCAGTTTGTGAGAGGGATGCTGAGGACCCGTGAGACTGACTGGTGCAGGGCCAGATAGGCAGGGCCTAAAACCAAGCCTCAGGTCTCGGTCATGGCCGCGCCAGCACACCACACTTCCTCCTCCTTCCCTTGCCTCTCGGGAGACACAGAAACATAAAGTCCCAAGTGGATGTGCAAGGACAGAGATATCGTACCTCGTTTCATCCATATACGCCAAATTTCCTCCAGGGTTTAAAAAACACAAATCCTTTTTCCTTTTCCAAAGCTGCTACTTCAGGGAGGGCAGGACCAGCGCTCCCTGCTCTTGTCCTGCACGATCACGGTTTGGAAACATGGGGTCGGGACTCTCTGGGCTCCATGAGGAGTGGCCAGGCCCATAAGCACATTCGCCTTCCCTGCAGGAGAAGGCTGAGGAGGTGTATCGTCTGTATCAGAACTCCCCTCTCTCCTCCCACCCTGTGGTGGCCCTGTCCGAGCTGAGCACCCTGTGTGCAGGCTCCTGCCCGGATGAGAGGACCTTCTACTTGGTGTTGCTGCAGCTGCAGAAAGAGAAGAGAGTCACGGTTCTCGAGCAGAACGGGGAAAAGGTATGGAAGTCCAGTTGTTCATCCAGTGACTCCCCAATGGCTTATTAAGTGTATACTGACATGCCCACCAGCATTCCTGCCTGGGACTTCTCAGCATTCATGGTAGGGGCCCTAGTAATTTGTCCCTGTCCCTCAGATTGTGAAGTTTGCCCGAGGGCCACATGCCAAGGTCTCTCCTGTCAACGACGTAGATGTTGGGGTATACCAGCTGATGCAGAGTGAACAGCTGCTCTCACGCAAAGTGGAGTCCTTATCCCAGGAAGCAGAGAGGTAACTACCCCTGAGCTGAGCACCCTCCGACCCCCACCCCTGGCTGGCCCTCAGAGCCAGCAAAGCATTGGTGTCTGTGGGCTCTTTTTTTTTTTTTTTTGAGAAAGGTTATTTTTTTTTTTACTAATTACAAAGTACTAACTGCTCAATGCAGCAATTGTGCAAAATAGAATATCATAAAAGAGAAAAAATGAATTTTTATTCTTCCCCCAGAGATTACATCTGTTAGCATTATGTTTATGCACTTCCATGCTGGTATCCATTTAACCAGTGTTCGTTGAGCCAGGCCTTAACTTAGGGACTTGGAAATACAGTAGTGAACAAGACAGGTCTCTGCCTTCCAGGGTCTTTCTGAGGGATTCCTGCTCTTCCCCGTGGATGGCCATACAAGGCATCCCTGCTAAAGGCACATGAACACTTCTCCAAAAAGTAGGCTATATGGACATTGAATTAAAATGCTGTCTCCTTCTTACAGCAAGAGAAACCCAACATTGTGGGACAACCAGGGACTGTGTCCAAGGTCATTGTTGGTGTTAGGATTTGATTCCTTATCTCCTGGCTTCCGAAATGGGAATCTGTTGTTAAGGTGTCTTGTTGGCACATTCTCTCTCCCCGTGGGCTGAAACAGCCTATCCTTAGTCAGTTTGCCTTTCTTGCACGCATATGTTCAAGTTTATGTCTCAGCTTGCTGCAGGAGTGTGCCAGTGGGCTGTTGGGCATTATTTTTCTAGCCTTTGGGTGGAATGGATTTGATTTTCAGATTTGAAACTACCTTACCTAAGTGGGGCTCTTAGGGACTTTTCAGGACACTACCACCCCCATCCTATGCCATGGTCATCTTGATCTGTCCCCTGTGTTTCATAGGTGTAAAGAAGAAGCCCGCCGGGCATGCCGAGCAGGAAAGAAACAACTGGTGAGTTTTCTCTTTTCCCCTCCAGCTGTGTACCTGTGCCCCAGGCTGGCAGTGGGAGGTGGTGTCCCAGCGGTTCAGAGCGGAGCTTGGGTCTCGGGGGGAAGAGTCTGCAGGTGGTCTGGGTACCACAGCTTGTTTTACAAGTGAGAGAGGAGGAGGCCTGAGATGGTCTTATAATGTGGGAAAGCCTGCCTCTGGCCCTCTGGCCTGCCTAACTGACCCTGACCAAGTCTCCATGCTCCCACCTCCCCCATCCAGGCACTGAGATCTCTCAAGGCCAAGCAACGGACAGAGAAGCGCATTGAAGCCCTTCATGCCAAGCTAGACACTGTTCAAGGCATCCTGGACCGGATCTATGCCTCCCAGACAGATCAGATGGTAGTCACTGCCCCTCTGCTCCAGTACCTGGGTGGTCTCTCCGGGATACATTCCTCATTCCCTCCACTGTGGCTTTGATGTTTGGAGGAGGCCTGGGTTTTTTCAAGATATGGTTGGGATTTTGCTTCTCCTGTTGGAAAGTTTTGGCCTCGGTGAACATGGGAGGAATCAAGTGTGGATGTTTAAAACAAACAAACCCCCAAATTATCTTTTGGAGATGCAACACTATTGTATGTATTTTGCCCATTGTTCTTCATTTGCACTGATAACTTTGCTTTCTGTTTAGGTTTTCAATGCCTATCAGGCCGGGGTAGGAGCGCTAAAACTCTCCATGAAGGATGTCACAGTGGAGAAGGCAGAGAGCCTTGTGGATCAGATCCAAGAGGTACAGGAAGGGGCCAGGGAGGAAAATCACAGGAGGAAGTAACTGAGGGCAGGTGTGACTTTGCTATACTTCATCCTTTCCCAGACTTAACTCTTTACCTTGTGAATTTGAGGAAGATTTTTTGATTCTCAGATGGGGCAGCATTACTTGGTAACCCTGAACATTGAGACCAAAAGACAGACCTTCAAGATGCTGCTCAGTGTTCAAGGCCTTACGCTTTTCTCTTACAGCTGTGTGACACCCAGGATGAAGTTTCTCAGACTCTGGCGGGTGGGGTGACCAATGGCTTAGGTGAGTTGACATGACAGTTCTTTTCTTTCTTCCTTCCTAAGAGGCCTTCACTTGTGTGTGCTGTGATAGTTTTGATCACAGATCCACTTTTCCTGGTGCAGGCAGCACTCTCCTCTCTCTGGGGCTCCTTGGTGGCAGTAGTTAGAAGGAACTGTCATCCCCCTTGGTAGGCTATACTGTTGACCCCTCTGGACTGCAGTAATCTTGACTCATTAGACTTCTGAATGGAAGATCCTTCTTCAAGGGCAAGGGAAAGCAGGGTCAGTTCTGTGGTGTTAGCAAAATATACCCTCTAGGTGACTTAGCTCTGTGTGTGGGAAGAATATTTGCTTGAAGGCACCCTCTTCCTCTCAACTCACAGGCTTTTTTTGACCTACAAGGAGGCCTGGACGTTTTTGCAAAGCTGAGCTTAGTTTTGCCTTTACTCAATCCTTGACTCATCCTCCCTTGGCTTTATGTGTTCTCATGTCATCTTTTCTTTGCAGATTTTGACAGTGAGGAACTGGAGAAGGAATTGGACATCCTTCTTCAGGATACCACCAAAGAACATTTTGATCTGCCTGAAAACCCCCCTGAGACATTTTATACCAACAGTGTGCCTAACCCTAGGATCTCGGACGCTGAACTTGAAGCCGAACTTGAGAAACTGTCCTTATCAGAGGGAGGTAGGGAACTGTATTCCCAGGATTGCTGGTGGGCACAGGGCCCTCTGGCTGACGGTAGCCAGGCACGGGGTTGGTGAGTTGCAGCCCAATTGCTCAATTTGCCAGGGTGCCAAACCCCATAAGGGAGTTGTGGGCTCATTATTTATATTAAGACTCAATCCTTTAAACACTGGGATGCTTTCACCTTAAAGATCCACCTGGCAGAGTATTCAGTCATTTCTTCTCCTTGCAGGTTTGGTCCCAAGCAGTAAATCTCCAAAAAGGCAATTGGAACCGACTCTCTAAAGCCATTCTAGGACCCTCAAGTGAAGGACCCTCATGTAAAAGAGAGACCAGGCTTGTGTGTGTGTGTACATAGTTATTTAAATGAGAAACTCTCAGAATTTGTTGGGAAGAGGAGGAAGGAAAACTACTCTGATTTATCTGGATGCTACCGCTTACTACAGGACAGATGTAATTTCTGGAAGCGTGCTCCCAAGGCGTGCTCCCAGCTGGTGTCATGGACCTGCCTTCTCATCTTTATAGTGCCACAATTTATACAGTTCTGTGTTTGACCTGTCGTCTCTCATAGCCTGCAGTTCTTGCCATTGGCTCCGTTAGGTTTGTCTTCACCCACCAGCTTTGTTCCAGCCAATGAAGGTGAAAGAGTTGCAGCCTTGCCAAATCAAAATCAGTCCCTTCTCCCTGCCCCACTGTTTTCTCGAGGACTCTGTAAGGTTGGGTAAACAACGTGTTCCAGTCTCCCTCTGGTTTCCTTGGTATTGAGAAGAATGAGAATCTAATAGCTGCCACTTGGTGGAGAAACATACAGTGTGAAAGGTTGTTGTCCTGTGGGGTCACTGGCCAAATTCTCCAGGTGTTCAGAGAAAGAGGTCACCCCTGAGTGTCAGAATCGTGACAGCTGGAGAGGGGGCTTGTGTAGTTGGTGGATGCTGCTGCCTCTTCCGTCTTACGCAGATGATCTGCTGACTGGAGAGTTATTCTTAGTCTTTTGAACTTGAGGGGGAGAAGCCCAGGTGACCGTAGGGCCCCAGGTGTCCAAACTCCATATGTTCTTTTAATGAGGCATAATCTTTGCCTTGCCCCCATCCTGGAGTAACTTTCATATAACTTACATGTGTGTGTCAGAACAAACCACACAACCACACGCCTCCCCTTCTTGAGCCTGGCACACAACCATGGGTTCTTGGTTTGAACTTCAGAAGCATTTCACTTTGTAGCCCACTGCTCAGGGCAGGGGATCTGAGCCAGGATGTGCAATAGAAACAGAAGATTGTGGCCTTCCGCCATGTCTGCTGTGTGCTTCCCCGGTCCTGCGCTATACCTGTCCTGCCTCCTGAAGTCCTGTCTTCCTACTTCCTTTGATGCATTGGGGAGGATGGTGCAGGGGGGCAGACAGGAAGGTCAGAATGTTCTGGCAACGGGGAGGAGAAAGGAGGACAGCCACGCTGCCACTCTGCTGCCACAGTACAAGTATTTCTGCCTGGAGCCCTTTGCCCTGTCCCTCCTCCCTGAGGTGCTGTAGAGCCAAGGGAATTTGCTCCAGGCCAGGAGCATGAATTCCTGTTCAGCATTTTCTCTCCTACTTGACCTTGGTAAACTGAAATGTTGGGGGTGAAGAGAAACAATCACTATTTTTTCTTTTTTATCTGGTAAATAATTAAAAGAAAAAATCCGAGTGCTTGTCCTTGTCTCTTTTTACATCGTATGACGTTTCTTGTGCTGTCACGCCTCCCTGCTCCCACTTCCAGCAGACGCACACGCTGCAGGCTGCAGGAGAATGTGCAGTAGCTGCCGTGTGAGCACCGAGCTGCCATAAGCTGGGCAGGAGGCCTGGCCGCTCTCACACGGATGCCCTTCTGGGGAGGAGGCATTGTTTGAATGGCCTGGGTTCAGGGCCTGTGCCATCATGTTTGCCATTATTTTCCATTGCCTGTTCTCTTCTAATGGCCCGATTCCTCTGCCTGTGTGATCGTACCATACTTTAGCCCTGTACCTGTTACGTGCCTGGTGTTTGCCACGGCCCTGGGGGACACAGGCTTTGAGGCCGAGTGCAGAGCTAGGAACAGGCTAGAAGGTCTACCACAGCACTGGGTTCACAGCTGTGGGTGAGTCAACACACCCAGAGCAGAAACAGCTTGAACAGAGAACATGATAAAGATAAGGCCAAGTTCTCTGAGGGAGGCATGTCGTAGGGAACCCCCGGTCAAACTGAATGAGCTGGACTCTGTGCCACTCGTCTTACCCGGTCTCATGTTACTCTTTCCCTCTCATGGACCAGAGCTGCTGTGCTGGCAGAAATGACAAGATGTTGAGTCTGGGTTGGTTCAGAGTAAAAACAAGGAGCCATGGGCTGGCGGTGGCTGTGTTTCCACACGAGGTCCCTGTGGGGGCCCAAGTCTTGCATCAAGATTCTCTTGGAGGAATGGGCTTGGTTTATTCTTTAAAATTTTTTTCAACGTTTATTTATTTTTGGGACAGAGAGAGACAGAGCATGAACGGGGGAGGGGCAGAGAGAGAGAGGGAGACACAGAATCGGAAACAGGCTCCAGGTTCTGAGCCATCAGCCCAGAGCCCGACGCGGGGCTCAAACTCACGGACCGCGAGATCGTGACCTGGCTGAAGTCGGACGCTTAACCGACTGCGCCACCCAGGCGCCCCTGGGCTTGGTTTATTAAGGGAACTGGTGAGTTTTCTTATACGTGGAGCTATGTCCGACCCAGATGAATCAGGCCAGACACTGCCCTGTTGAAAGTGGAGTACCCTTCAGGGTACAGATAAAGGGCTGAGGAAGTTCTCAGAATAAATTCTTCAAGCGGGTGGACTCTTCATTGAAGAGGGGACATTCAAGCTTTCATGTCCCTTGAATTTTTCTTGGGCGTTCAAAATCTTGTAAAGCAATCTAGGAGTGCTGAAACATCCACCCGTCATTCCGCTGAGATCAAGTTCAGAGAGAAAATACGAACCAGGTAGTGACTGGTCCTGACAGAATTAGGAAACCTGGTTCCGGTTCTTGCCTCAGCCACAAACTAGTTGTATGGCTTTGGACACACGAGCCTCTCATCTCCCATCTGTAGGATAGAGCAGACAGACCAGATGGCTCCTGAAATTCTGATTGTCTCAGTCTCCCTGTGTATGGTCTGCTTCTCCTTTCTCCTGCACACCTGCTGCCTGGTGACAGGAGTCTGAGCAGTGGGTGCCACAGTGAAGCCAAGCCTGGAGAAGTGACTAGACAGTTCTCAGTCACTGCCAGCTGGGCAACAGGGTTGCAGTGTGCAAAGTGAGAGCAGGTATGAGGAGAGGGGAAGAGTACACATTGGGGGAGGAGGGAGGAAGGGGGCGGGCACGGCCTCAGCCTCTCTTGGGCCTCCCTGAAAGGGGCTCTTAGCCTGCGCCCTGGGACCTGGGGGGGCTCTGAAGTCAGACTCCTACTGTGAGAGGCCTGACTTACCACTGCCTGCCTGAATGGCTGAGAGTCCAAGGTCGAGCAGCTCCTGCCCCCTGCCCTGCTCCCAGGAAGAGGTCACGATATCGTGGTTCCATCTGCTGTAAATGTCATCAAGGCAATCCAAAAAGAGAAAGAACAACAAAGCTGTAAGAAAGATGAGGCAACTGGGAAAGCTGTTGACTCACAAGGAATCCAACCAAAGCATGGCTCTGAGGTTTGTAGGTAAGCTTGGCAACCCTTCCTTTTAAAGTATTTGTTTTCCCTGCCAACGTCTCGTTTTTTATTCAAGTTGCAGCCACTCTTCGGGGAAAGCGTGGGTCCTTTTCTCCTCCTGCACAGATATGATATACAGTCACAGACACCTGGAACAGGGGAGCTGGAGGAGCCTCAACAGCTGTAGGCAAAGCCTCTGTTTTACAGATTAGGACACTGAAGCTTGGGTGACCTGCCCGAGGACACAGGGCTGGCAGGGGAATTTAGGTTGTTGACTTCCAATTCAGAATGCTCCCGGTTAGAACAGGCTACCCTTAAAAGCACACTTTCAAAAACCACATAACTCCAAAAGGACTTCCTGTGTTTGCTGGTTGGTGTGTATTAACACTTTGGGTTGGCAGAGGAGTGTCCTCCAGTTCTCAGTGCTACAATTACACAGACTACTATCGATGGAAAGTTGCCTCTCGAGAGATACCGGCTGGCCAGTTTCCAATTTTTACGGAAGCCAAGGACAGTCTTCACATCGTTTCTCTGCTGATAGTGACCGCAGAGGTAACTCTCCTGACTTATATCTTGTAGCCAGCACATCAAACTGTGCAGAAAACAAATCCCAAGCACTTTCCGAAGGAGCCAGACTTAGAATCCTTGTAAGATAGCCAATGCTGCAATTAGGTGACTGGGTACCCCCAAAAGTACAGTGTGAACTGCAGTGTAGATCTAACCTCGGCTAGTGGATTTTTATCCCTGTGAATGGTATAATGAATGTAGGTTGGCTTACTGGGTTAGCACATAGTGAGGTAGACTAGGATAATAGAAACTTCTTTAAATTATACATGTTGAAAGAAAACTTAGCTATTCAAAAATATCATGCTGAAGTCCTTAACCCAGGAAAGCTAAAAATTAATCAACAGACTCAAAGGGTGTGTCTATTAGGTGTGAGCTAACAAATTAGTGGAGGGAAGAAGGACGTTTTAGACAGGTTCCATGCCCTCCAGGTACTTAAAGAAGAGTATCTTAGTATAGGTACAGAGGAAGAGTGTCTTAGTTCAGATAATGCTACAACAACAACAACAACAACAACAAAACACAGGCTAGATGGCTTATAAACAACAGATATTATCACTTGCAGTTCTGGAAGCTGGAAGACCAAGATCAGAGTGCCTGCATGGTCTGGTTCCGGTGAGGGCCCTCGTCTGGTTGCAGATGGCCACCTTCTTGTATCCTCACTTGGTGGAAAGAGGGCAAAGGAACTGCCTGCTGTCTCTCTCACAAAGGCACTAATCCCATCCGTGCAGGCTCCACCCTTATGACCTGATTACCTGCCAAAGTCTCCCCCTACTCCCCGACCTCATAGTACCAGTATACTGGAGGTTAGGATTCTGACATATGAGTTTTCAGGAAGACACAAACATTCAGTCCATAACAAAGAGAAATCCCAAGATGTTTGCATAATGAAGGATTAGTACTGCCCTAAGCATTTACAGAGCAGGGCTTGGATGGGTCAGGAACAGAACGCCCAATCTTAGACTCTAGCTCCTATTTTAATGCAACAACAGTAACAAAAAAGCAAAAGCTAACATTTATTGGGTACTTATGGTCTTCTGGATACTATGTATTACAGACTGGGTTCTCCAGAAGCAGACCTGGAAAAAGAGTTTGGGGTATCAAGGATCACCACCCATGAAGGGAAAAGAGAGGAAGAAGATTAAGGAGAGGAAGAAGTTAATCCACAATGCAGGCCCCCCAAAAGCCTTGGCCACTCTGGAAGGGAATTCCAGAATGAGTATTGCCCATTAGTGTCCCATGTCAGGCAGAAATGGCCAGGACTTCATCCATCATCACCCCTCTCCCTCAGTTATCAGATTCCTCTGGAAAGGGGGTGACCTCAGCTAGGGTGGCTCTCTGCAGCTGGGGCAGCCCCTGTAGGAGCTGACAGCTGGCTGGCTGATGGTTGACCACAGCTGGGCAGCAAACCTTGAAGGGAGGCCTGGGCAGTGCATCTCTATGACTACCACATTGTGCTAGGCTCTTTGGTTTGTTTTGTTTTCTAAAGCTCTTTTTTCTTTTCTTTTATTTCTTTTTTTCTTTTTATTTTTTTTAAGACAGAGAGATAGATAGACAGAGCATGAGCGGGGCAGGGGCAGAGAGAGAGGGAGACACAGAATCCAAAGCAGGCTCAAGGTTCCGAGCTGTCAGCACAGAGCCTGATGCGGGGCTCAAACTCACGAACTGTGAGATCATGACCTGAGCTGAAGTCAGACGCTTAACTGACTGAGCCACCCAGGCACCACTGTGCTAGGCTCTTTGAATGGATCTAATATTCCAATGAGATGGGCAGTTATTTCACAAATGAGTTAATGGAGGCTTAGAAATGGTAAATAAATGGTCCAAAGTTAGCAGTGGATGATTGTAATATTGCGATTTATAAGAAGGCATACATAGTTGGTCTTCATCCCTGTTTCTGGTGCAGAGATCCTAAAACCCTAGGAATTTCCTAACTGTTGAGAGCAATAAAGGTGTCTTAACCAACCCCCTTTCAGCCACACCTGAGTTTATGTTAATGAGATGACTTTTGGAAAGCACCTAAGGATGGGGGCTAGATACCAGAAGGACCAAACTTGTGATTAGAGTGTTGAAACTTTCAGTCCTTACCCTGTCCGGAGAAGGGGAGTGGACCTGATGACTGAATGCGATCACCAATGGCCAATGGTTTAATCAATCATGCCTACGTAATGAAAGCTCCACAAAACCCCAAAAGGATAGGATTTAGAGAGCTTCCAGGTTAGGGAATCAGAATGTTTCCACATGTCACCATGCCGGGCCCTAAACTCCACAAGGCTAGAAGCTACTTCGTTCAGGACCTTGCCCTGACTGTGGATTCGTGTCCTTTAATATCCTTTGTAATAAACTGATAGTGTAGCGAGTCAAAGGGTTTCCTGAGTTCTGTGAGCTGCCCTAGCAAATCAATCAAATCCAAGATGGGTATCGTGGAAACTTCTGATTTATAGCCTGCTGGGGAGAAATACAGGTAGTTGAAGTGGGGCGGTGGATGGGGTGGTCACCCTTGCTGGACCGAGCTTTTAACCTGTGGAATCAGATACTACCTCCACCTATGCAGTGTCAGAATTGAGTTGAATTGTACAACACCCAGCTGGTGTCCATGAATTGCTGAATAGTGTGAGGAACCCTCCCCCAAGCCCCCACACAGTGCATTGGGGGTAGAACCCGTTTTAATGATGGCTAGGTACATCTAATTTCTGCATTTTTCTTTTACTTTTCCTCTTTCTGTTCTTATGCCAGCTAGGGTGAAGGTTGGCTCTCACCCTGATCATCTTACCAATTTATGAAACTCAAACACATACAGTCTCCACTCTTGTAAGTTGACTGCAGCTTTTCAGATTTCCTATGAATAAGTCCCTTTGATTAGGAGAGCCCTGGAAGAGAAACTTCCAGAAACCAGAACTGAATTTGTTTTTGTTTTCTATTTACCATGAGCACTTACTAGAGCTTAGAAACGGGCCGGGGGGTGGCTTTTCAGGATGGATCCAAATCCAAGCTGTCTTTACCAGCTTCCAGGATTGGAAGCGAGGGGCAGGCATCATCCTGGCCATTAATGAGAGGACGACAGGGGCTGAGGTGAGAGTCCTTATAGCATAGTTCTAGTTCGCCGCCAAATACTGCAGACATGGCTTTCAGGTGTCAGGCCCCTGCAGATGCCGCCTTCATCTCAGAAACACCACTGCAGCAAGAGTACATTTCTTCTGGTCCTTCCGAAACCAGCGAGGGGCTGCGGAGGGGAAAAGTGACCCTTGAGAAGGAAAGGTTTCAGAGATACGGTTCGGAGATTTTGTTGAGAGTGGGTGCTGCGGACCCCAGTTGCCTCCTTTGCGCAGGAGGCCCGGAGAGGGCGGGGCTCGGCGGGGGCGGGGCTCGGCGGG